TAAAAGACTCTGATAAATACGTTTAGTCTAGGGAATTTGGGAGCCTAACCCTGCAATCTGAGTCCCCTTCACCATTCAGCTCTTTATGTCCATAGTTGGCATCAACAGGACTGCTTAGGGCTCAAGGAAAGCCGATTTGAGTTTGTGGCCGAAGAAGTTAGAAGAACTAGCTCTGTTTCAACTTCTACCTCCACCTCCTGATCTGAGGTCAGGATTATAATGGGATTCCCCTCGATCCTCATTCTCATTCGTTTGCATTTTTATTTTCTAAGAAAGAACTTAGGGAAAACGTGATAGTTATGAAGTCTGAATCAGAGGAGAAATTCTTCTAATCCATATTCTGCTACCCAACAGCACAACATTAGTGCCAAAGGTCATTTTTGTAGTGGCAACTTAGAGCATATTCTAGAGTCATCCAACCATCCTAATGTCAATTTAACAGTAGGGCAAACAAGCTTTACATCCCTGTTGGGATGTAGGGATGAAGTACTGTACAAGTGGAATCAATTCAATAGCTCCCTTTCCATTGGGAAAGAAGAGCAACAAAGATAATGAAGGTACTAGAGAATAAAACAGATGAAAAATGGTTGCAGGAATTAAGTATATCTAATGAAAACAAGGACTAGGGGTGACATGATACCAGTATTCCAATATTTGAGGGGCTGCCACAGTGAAGAGGATGGGGGTCAANAGAGTACTCCTGGAGTTTGGGGAGGGCAGAAACAGGCCTTTTTTGCTCAATTTTTGGGGTGTCAGCCCCCATGAGCACTCCAAAAGCCTCCTAAAGGCTATCCATGGCCTTTTTTTGACAAAAAACAGGCCTGTTTTTGTGAAAAATGGGCCATTTTTGGGAGGTTTGCAAATTGCAAACACTTTTTTTCCCCATTTGCCTCTTCAAAACCTTGGTGCATCTTATACTCTGGTGCGTCTTATACTCAAAAAAAATACAGGTAAGTCTCAGGGCAGGATGGTGGTCTTGACAGGTAACAGATGGGTCATCTGGCTTGAAAGTTTGAAGGTTATGAATGATGGTTTGCTGTTTCAGTAATTATCTGTAGTGAAACTACAGCACAGGACACTTTTAATAATCCCAAAATTAGGGAAGAAAAATTGTGTAAAAAATGGTAGATGAGCCCCCAAACCATAGTCTTTCCTACCACATTGTTGGAGTGCAGCTTTCATGTTTTCCAGATGGTGTAGTTTAGGTGGAGTTGACTTTTTGGACCCATCCCATGTTCTGATGGCCAACTTCCAGGTGGTCAAGATTTATTTGTCCTTAACATCTTGGGATAGGTGGATGGGAATCACACTGGATGGAGCAATGGTGCACCCACACGACATACACACAAATATGAAACTAGGATTTTCAAGGATTTTTTTTTACCTCTGCATGGTTTGTATTAACTAAATCGAGCCTATCCAGCAGTTATATGAATCATCTAGTGCAGGGGTCAGCAACCCTAAACATTCAAAGAGCCACAAAGATCCTAACTGGAAACCCCACGTTCAATTCTGGAGCAGAGCGGAAGTCATTTCATTTCATTTCATTTCATTTTATTTACATTTATAGGCCGCCCTTTTCCCTGAGGGGACTCGGGGCGGCTTACAATTAATGGGAAGGGAGTGTAGGACAAAACACAAGAAAGAAAAAAAATGTGAATAATAAAAAAAATAAACCAGTAAAACACAACATTCATTCAGCATTCGGGTGGGGCAAAGTACAGGTCTTATCCCCAGGCCTGACGGGATAGCCAGATCTTGAGGCCTGGACGGTGGTGAGGGTAGGAATCTCCACGGGGAGATCATTCCAAAGCATCGGAGCTGCAACCGAGAAGGCTCTCCTCCGCGTAGTCGCCAGTCGGCACTGGCTGGCGAATGGAATTCGGAGGAGGCCTACTCTATGCGATCTGATG